GGTGCAACTATCACAAAATATCTCAACATGAGCAAGGTTTCAGGCTGAAAACACTGCACATACATACTCCTACCACCATGAGTAACTCTTTCACATTTGATATCTCGGTGAAAAAGTGCTGCATTGAAAAGGTCAGCTCTAATATTTATCACTTATAACATATGCTCATTGTGGCTAATTCCATAGTATAACGAAAACTATTGAGAAAAATTTATATATATATATATATTTTTTTTTTTTCTAAAGGGAATTATTCTGATTGCAGACACTCAGCTATGAATGAGCAATCTGGATGTCTAATAAAACCAGAATATACTTCCTATTTGGAACAAAGGATGTTTTCATTAAACAGGTACTAGGAGTGAGCTAACTACACTCCACATTGATTATTTTTATTCATACTGTTGACATAAACGTTGCTAAGCTGGCATTCGGGTCATCGAAACTCACTGTTTAGTAAATAAAACCTAAGCGATAGAGATAGATATATTTGATATGTTTATTATTGTTCCAATAATGTGTGTGTATATATTAATCTATGTATTCTACTCACTGTGTTTCACTTCCAACGCCCTCATTGCAGCTTGTGTTCAGTTAGTACAGTTTATTTAAGATACATTTCGTAGATTAATTATTTGCTGGGAAATATGATTGATGACCAGTGAAATTGTTCACTAATCTAAGTCATTTATTTTAGATTTTTCTTTATGTCTCTTCTTCCTGCATGTTCTAACTGACGGTTCTTTCCCAACCCATCCCCGCCTGGTCCCTATTACAATATTTGTCTAATGAATGCATGGCCAGTCATTATCTAATCATCATTATTACATTTCCAAATAGAATATAGAGAATCAAATATCACTCAGCCCATTGCCTAAAACGAACAGAAAACGGACATTGTCTAATCAATGGAAGTGTTGGAGATAAATTCCATTCAATTATTTTATTGTTTTTATATAAAAAAAAAAAATCCCATTAAATGTTTCTGCAAAGTGTAAATGTCCTGATACCCTCTGTGTGACCTGAAATTGAAATGCAATGCTATTTGTGAGCTTTAATTGCTAATTTAGTATCTGTGTCATACCTCCCAGCCCATTAGATGCTCCAATCTCACCTGGTTAAAGCAGGCTGCACATTGGCCTCAGCAGAGGAGGCCTGATTATATGGCACAGCTGTTAATTTAGCAGACGACCCTTACACAGGCCTTGATGGGCATGCCTGCTATATGCATGCTGTAGCTAAGAGAATGTGCTGTATTCCTTCAGACGTCTTCCAGCAAGCTGCAGAATGACAAATGGGGAATTAGTGAAGGTGTGTGCAGTAAGGGAGCGCAGCAATTAGTGCTGTGTGGAGACAGGAGAGCAGTGCCAGGGGCTGGCTGGGCACAGGCTGGGTATTGATCAGGGCACAGTCTTGCACAGCTCAGCAATTAGTGCTGTGTGGAGACAGGAGAACAGTGCCAGGGGCTGGCTGGGCACAGGCTGGGTATTGATCAGGGCACTGCCCAGTAATTAGTGCTGTGTGGAGATAGATCAGTGCCAGGGGCTGGCCTGGCACAGGTTGGGTATTGATCAGGGCACAGTCCTGCCCAGCAATTAGTGCTGTGTGGAGACAGGAGAGCAGTGCCAGGGGCTGGCTGGGTATTGATCAGGGCACAGTCCTGCACAGCTCAGCAATTACTGCTGTGTGGAGACAGGAGAGCAGTGCCAGGGGCTGGCTGGGCACAGGCTGGGTATTGATCACAGTCCTGCACAGCTCAGCAATTAGTGCTTTGTGAAGACAGGAAAGCAGTGCCAGGGGCTGGCTGGGCACAGGCTGGGTATTGATCAGGGCACTGCCCAGCAATTAGTGCTGTGTGGAGACAGGAGAGCAGTGCCAGGGGTGGGCTGAGCACAGGCTGGGCATTGATCAGGGCACTGCCCAGCAATTAGTGCTGTGTGAAGACAGGAGAGCAGTGCCAGGGGTGGGCTGGGCACAGGCTGGGCATTGATCAGGGCACTATCCTGCACAGCCCAGCAGCCCCTTGCAGTCTCTCAATCCCCTCTTCATTGTTCTGCTCCAGGAGGAGATAGAGTTGGGCAGGTGACAGCTGAGGGAAGAGACATTTCCAATTTGAAGCTGTCATTTTATTTCACCCCCCTCCCCTCCAGCCCTTGATCACCAGCATGATATCACACCTCTGCAGCTGGCTGTAACATCTTCTTCTACAGAAACATGGCTGTCAGAGGGGGGCATAGGGTCAGTGAGAATGCAGGCAGTCAGCTACTAACCTGTATCTATATAGTATATCTGTATATAATGTATCTGTGTATTATCTAACCTGTATCTATATAGTATATCTGTATATAATGTATCTGTGTATTATCTAACCTGTATCTATATAGTATATCTGTATATAATGTATCTGTGTATTATCTAACCTGTATCTATATAGTATATCTGTATATAATGTATCTGTGTACTATCTAACCTGTATCTATATAGTATATCTGTATATAATGTATCTGTGTATTATCTAACCTGTATCTATATAGTAAATCTGTATATAATGTATCTGTGTATTATCTAACCTGTATCTATATAGTATATCTGTATATAATGTATCTGTGTACTATCTAACCTGTATCTATATAGTATATCTGTATATAATGTATCTGTGTATTATCTAACCTGTATTTATATCGTATATATCTGTATTATCTATCTATCTAGTAAATGACACCCATACCCCACACAGAGGGGTGTATTCAGTAAAATTCGAATTTCAGTTCTTTAAAACATTAATAAAATGACGCTAAAGCAGCTGATCTAGAAAAAAATATCTACTACTCGGCTATAGGGAGACCCTGAAATTCGGGTTTAATTCGGTATAAATCGGCACTATCTATTTCGATTATAAAATATAATTGGAAAATATAAATATATATACACACGTATCTTTACGTGTCAGTATGTATATACCTCTGCCATCAGTTATAAAATATATATACTAATAAATCATTACTATAATATTGTAAATACAGCCTGTATATCTGTTTATACACAGAGATCCATGAAATCCAATTAAAGGTGATCAGTAAGGAATTATGAATTAGAGTGAGTGTGTGTGTTACAAAATTATAAACGCAACACTTTTGTTTTTGCCCCCATTTTTCATTAGCTGAACTCAAATATCGAAGACTTTTTCTATGTACACAAAAGGCCTATATCTCTCAAATACTGTTCACAGATCTGTCTAAATCTGTGTTAGTGAGCACTTCTCCTTTGCCGAGATAATCCATCCACCTCACAGGTGTGGCATATCAAGATGCTGATTAGACAGTATGATTATTGCACAGGTGTGCCTTAGGCTTGCCACAATAAAAGGCCACTCTAAAATGTGCAGTTTTATCACACCGCAACAGATGTCGCAAGTTTTGAGGTAGCATGAGAATTTGGCAGTACATCCAACCGGCCTCACAACCACAGACCACGTGTAACCACACCAGCCCAGGACCTTCACGTCCAGCTTCTTCACCTCCAAGATCGTCTGAGACCAGCCACCCGGACAGCTGCTGCAACAAACTGTCAGAAACCGTCTCAGAAAGCTCATCTGCATGAGATATCTTGACGAGATCCTGAGGCCCATTGTTGTGCCATTCATCCACGACCATCACCTCATGTTGCAGCATGATAATGCACGGCCCTATGTTGCCAGGATCTGTACACAATTCCTGGAAGCGGAAAACATCCCAGTTCTTGCATGGCCAGCATACTCACCGGACATGTCACCCATTGAGCAAGTTTGGGATGCTCTGGATCGGTGTATACAACAGCGAGTTCCGGGTCCTGCCAATATCCAGCAACTAAGCACAGCCATTGAAGTGGAGTGGACCAACATTCCACAGGCCACAATCAACAACCTGATCATCTCTATGCGAAGGAGATGTGTTGCACTGCGGGAGGCAAATGGTGGTCACACCAGATACAGCTCCCCCCCAATACAGTAAAACTGGCCATTTTAGAGGAGACTTTTATTGTGGCCAGCCTAAGGCACACCTTTGCAATAATCATGCTGTCTAATCAGCATCTTGATATGCCACACCTGTGAGGTGGATGGATTATCTCGGCAAAGGAGAAGACAGATTTAGACAGATTTGTGAACAGTATTTGAGAGAAATAGGCCTTTTGTGTATATAGAAAGTCTTGGATCTTTGATTTCAGCTCATGAAAAATGGGGGCAAAAACAAAAGTGTTGCGTTTTTATAATTTTGTTCAGTGTATATATATATACACACACACACACACACATACACACACATTTTTTGAATAAAGCAATGTTAACACACCGATCCATTCTCTGATATAAAGGGATTCAGAGATTCGCTCACATCATCCGTCGGATTGATTGGAAATGACAATATATTTAGATAAAGCTATTTACCTATTCACTCACTGTCTCACTGTGCCTTCCTTCCATTTCCATTATTCATTATTACAGTATTGTGGAGGGGTTCTGTTTATTTATTTTTGTTACATATATTACAATAATTTAATTTTTTTCCCCTCGTTATTATGGTGTTTTTAATTACATTTACATATTCTATTTATTTGACTGTATTGTATTGTTATGCGTTTGTTGATTTCTCATTGTTTTTACTGTATTGTATTTTTTACCTTTTATTAATAATATAATCACATTGTGTTGTTTGTTCTCAGTTATTCTGTTAGTATACATACTGAGCATTGTGTATTGGCACAGTCTTTATATTCTTCTAATATAGGCTTTATCTCTGCGTTTCCTTGCCCAGCCTGCCCCCTGTCTATAGGGAATGATGGATTGGGGTTTGCAGATTAGCTCAGGGGCCCCTGGTCCTGCACACCCCTCCTGGAGACCTGTAGCCCCAGCACAGCCACCAGTCCTTTAACAGATTAGCCCCATCCATTCAGTGTCAATGACTGTCTTGTTGAGAAAATCGGTGAGTAAACAGTGCTGACAGGGGGGGCAGCTGATCACTCACACAAATAGACTGAAACTCCTCCAGGACAGGCAGCTTCCAGGATTGGCTTTCTTCAATTGACAGGGCAGCTTCTCCAGGCTGCTGTGTCCTGCTGCTCCCACTTTGTCCTCCATCAATCACATCATTGTGTCCGGGATGTTTTATAGAGTCTCTTAATATCACAGCCTTCATCTTTATCCTCTCAGACAATCATCTGCCATAAGGCTTGTTCTGTCTGCAGTAAGGAGCCAGGCAGAGCTGGGAGCAGGGACTGCCTGCTATATATGCTTATACAAATAATTCACAGCTCCCTGATGCTATCACTAGCCACCCAGCTAGCCATACACTCACCCAGCCACCCACCCTGCTAGCTAGCCATACACCCAGCCACCCACCCACCCAGCTAGCCATACACTCACCGAGCCACCCACCCTGCTAGCTAGCCATACACCCAGCCAGCCACCCACCCAGCTAGCCATCCATTCAGCAAGCTAGCCAGCCACCGACCCAGCTAGCCATCCACCCAGCTAGCCATCCACCCACCCGGCTAGCCATCCACCCAGCTAGTCAGCCACCGACCCAGCTAGCCATCCACCCAGCTAGTCAGCTACCCACCCAGCTAGCCATCCACCCAGCTAGCCATCCATTCAGCAAGCTAGCCAGCCACCGACCCAGCTAGCCATCCACCCAGCTAGCCATCCACCCAGTTAGTCATCCACCCACCCGGCTAGCCATCCACCCAGCTAGTCAGCCACCGACCCAGCTAGCCATCCACCCAGCTAGTCAGCTACCCACCCAGCTAGCCATCCAGGCAGCCGACTAGCTAGACATCCACTCAGTCAGCCGGCCAGCTAGCCAGACTTCCACCGAGCTAGCCACCCAGTCACACTCAATATGCAGCTCTCAATCCGAACAGGGCTTCCACCTGTAATCAGTACTCTAATATGTCAATATATCTATTAATAGTTAAACATCACAAGCACACTGCTATACTGGAGCAGAGTATATTCTACACTGTGTGATCAGTAGCTGTAATAAACGTTTTTACATTATTTATAATACACAGTGTAATCAGTAACTGTAATAAACGTTATTACATTGTTTATAATATAATACACTGTGTGATCAGTAACTGTAATAAACGTTATTACATTGTTTATAATATAATACACTGTGTGATCGGTAACTGTAATAAACGTTATTACACTGTTTATAATACACTGTGTAATCAGTAACTGTAATAAACGTTATTACATTGTTTATAATACACTGTGTGATCGGTAACTGTAATAAACGTTATTACACTGTTTATAATACACAGTGTAATCAGTAACTGTAATAAACGTTATTACATTGTTTATGATACACTGTATGATCAGTAACTGTAATAAACGTTATTACATTGCTTATAATATAATACACTGTGTGATCGGTAACTGTAATAAACGTTATTACATTGCTTATAATATAATACACTGTGTGATCGGTAACTGTAATAAACGTTATTACACTGTTTATAATACACTGTATGATCAGTAACTGTAATAAACGTTATTACATTGTTTATAATATAATGAAATGTGTGATCGGTAACTGCAATAAACGTTATTACACTGTTTATAATACACAATGTAATCAGTAACTGTAATAAACGTTATTACATTGTTTATAATATAATGCACTGTGTGATCGGTAACTGTAATAAACGTTATTACACTGTTTATAATACACAGTGTAATCAGTAACTGTAATAAACGTTATTACATTGTTTATAATATAATGCACTGTGTGATCGGTAACTGCAATAAACGTTATTACACTGTTTATAATACACAATGTAATCAGTAACTGTAATAAACGTTATTACATTGTTTATAATATAATGCACTGTGTGATCGGTAACTGTAATAAACGTTATTACACTGTTTATAATACACAGTGTAATCAGTAACTGTAATAAACGTTATTACATTGTTTATAATATAATGCACTGTGTGATCGGTAACTGCAATAAACGTTATTACACTGTTTATAATACACAATGTAATCAGTAACTGTAATAAACGTTATTACATTGTTTATAATACACACTGTGATCAGTAACTATTTATAATGCACTGTGTAATCAGTAACTGTAATAAACGTTATTACATTGTTTATAATACACACTGTGATCAGTAACTATTTATAATGCACTGTGTAATCAGTAACTGTAATAAACGTTATTACATTATAATACACTGTGTGTCTGTCGGACTGTTCTATGGCCAATCGTTTTAATTATAAACAAATATTTATTAATGACTGGGTATTAATATTAGTCAATTCACATTAATATATAATATGCTTTGCGCTTTAGATTTTTCGAGATTATTTATTTATTTAATTTTATTATTATCTCGAGTCCTGTCATATTATTTGCCATGATATAATGTATCTATAAATTATACTGCTTTAAGGGTGCACAATGTTACGGCCTCATTGTAACCAATGGCTCGACGACAAATTAACGTGATATCTAATTAATTACAAGTCAATTAAGTAAGTTAGTTATGAGGAGTTTAACCCCTTCCCTTCCAGCACTCTGTACTGTCAGTGAAAAGCCTGCAGATCTCCTTCAGACTGCAAACAAAATCCAGAGAACAAATAGCTCTGCAGCTTCAGTGGGTTAATGCACCCACTGATTCCATGCAAGAAAATGTACTGACCTCCCAAAATGGAAGTGGGGATTTTTATTAGCACCCTGCGTCCCATTTACTCTGCTTTTACAATGCCTTGTTTGTTTAACTGATTTATTAGCATCATTACCCACTTCATCATGAGCCTTTTATTTGGCCAATTCGATCTCTCAGAACAGCCAAATGTTGGTGAAATCCAAAACAAGGCTCTTGGGTAGTGTAGTTCACAAACATGTTGGGTGCCAGGACTAGATTCACTCTGATCTGCTCATTTATTGAATTCTTCTTAATCTGCTTCCTGATAAAATGATAACACATATAATAAAAAAATAAATATAATAATAAACATAATAACAGCACGAATTGTATTATAACAATAATAATAATAATAATTAATTATACAATCTAAATATTCGATAGCTGTCTTTATTGTGTCTCTTATAATAAGAAGCTGCTCTGAGCTTTAATAAGGGACATCCTGCAGCCTTTCATTAGCTATAAATCTCAGCCAATCTTTGTTGGTTAAAATCATTATGATTATCATTACTGAACTCATTATTCTCCTGTTATTATCACGGTAGATTTATGATAATCCACAGCATCGATGCTGAGATAAAGATGTGATTAATAGCTGCGATCACAATTCTTTAATACCAGCCATTTTCCCACATTCCTTCTAAATAAGAAAGGGCCATGCTAATTACAAGGGGTGATTGTGCACTTAATAAAAGCCATTTAATGAAGTACATATACATTATTTCAATCAATAGAGGATGGAACTATTTTTACAGAGCTGTTTCCATGTGGCACAATGGACCATAGTATTCACACAGTGTACACAGAGTATTGGGTTCACACTCAGATTATTTGTTATAATGGGTGAGATGTCCCCCTCCCTGGGCAATTAAAATATTGCAAAATACTGTATGTAAAAATAATAATAATTAGAAAATAACTCAGTCTGTCTCTCTCTCTACAATATATATATATATAAGTACAAACATTTGTATTTATAACTTTTATACATTTATTTTTCAGTTACTAATAATTAACAGAATGTGTGGAAGACTGCATAATTCAGGGATTTATTCACCAAACAGTTAATTGTGATGAATTGTAAATATTATTGCAAAATGTGTCCCCAAATAACCAATGTAGACAGACATTTGAATTTGAGAAAGGTGGTCAGGGCAGCAATTGTGCAATTTGTTTTTATTAATTAACCTCAATTCTCTGTTTTAGTCAATTAACCCCTTCACTATCACAGCAGGTGAGGTGCTGACACAATGTGACAATTTGTAGCACTGAGGGGAAGCTTAGCCCTATAAAGCAGCCTGGTATTGGGGTGCAGGGAAACATTGTATTATTATTTTGGGGTAATAGCTATTGTCCTGACATTGCAGATTGAAATTTTACAGCTTTTTGCAGGAATGAAGAGCTAAGATCTGTCTGGATTGGATCAAAAAGGAGAAAAAATAAGGTTTGTTAGAGGTAAAACATCTAAAATGCTGAGTTTCATGTCACCGTTCAGTATTTAAATAAATGATTATTATACGTTATTAGTCTTTTCAGTTCTATTCTAGAATAGTGTTTATTTTGAGAAGTCTGCTGTCATTTTAGCTGGTTTCTCAAGCTGACGTATCTATCTAATCTTTCTAATTAAAATAAAAAACCTATTTTTATAAACCCTGACTATATAATTCCCAGGCTCCCAAATCAGACACATTAAATACAAATGGCATATTTCTTTTCACTGCGTTTCCCCATAAAATACTCAGATTTTCCTTTTGTTTGTTTAATTTTAAAATTATTGCACATTGCTTATTGAGTTTCCATAAAAATCAATTTCTCCCTTAAAACACTCTGTAAGGTAAACATCTGTCTGACAACGTTATGTGAACTAAAAGCAAGAATGGGAAGATTATTCCCAATATACCTCTGGACAACAGCCTCTCGTTATTATTATTATTATTATTATTATTATTGTTATTATTATTAGAGTGCCAACAAATTCCGTAGCGCTGTACAATGGCTCTGTATCATCCTGAATGTTTATCCAGTCCAATCAGGGGAATCTAATATATAATGATTTCATCTTAATATAATTTAACACTACTTTGTATCCTGCTCTAGAATCAGAGCCAAATGTCTTCAAATAATCAGGGGCAGGGATATACGAGATCACCAAAATCTAAATTATAGGGTAGGAAAGAGGGACACTTGAAAGCAGGGCCACCCTTAACATTAGCAGGGCCTGGGGTGGGATATATTTGTGGGGCCCCTGGCAATGCAGCACCTGTATACTGCGTTCTCCTCCCAACACACCTCTCCTCTAACAGGTGGGCTTTAACAGCTCAACATGAGAAACGTATGCTCCCAAAATGCACACACCCCTCAAGGTGCCCCACCGACCAGCGAGCAATAAGGTAAAAGGTATTGGAGAGCACACTTGACACACAAGGAGCCCCTCTGACATCTGTGGGGCCACACATAGCTGGCCACTGATTGGCTAAA